CTACTGGGAATGGAGCCTGCAACCCCAGGGAATGTGCGCTGACAGGGAATCAAACCAGTGACCTCTTGGCACACAGGATGCTCAACCAACTAAGCTACACCGGCCAGGGCAATGCTCCTATTTGATGAATCTACATCTGAGTGTGGCCCACAAGCTGAACGTCAGCTCTTGAAATTTCCACCCTATTCTTTTGTAAACCCAAGTTCAACCAGAGAGCGCCTCCTTTCCCTTCTCAGGGGGACACTATATCTTGGACTAGGGAGTCCCCTACCTCTTTGGAGCAGAGAAGAGGCACAATGACCTCAGTGGAACTGAGTATGACACAATGGAATTGGGCCCAGTCTGTTGCTTAAAGCCTCCAACCCTAGCACTTCCTACTTCCACATGGAATGCATGGGAGACTAAAAAATAAGGCAAGCAAACTAGACAACAGATAACGACAACACTCACAATTCATCAAAGGCATACCATGTCTCTGACACTTTGGGCATATTCATTCCCTCAATCCTCCACCTATACTATGGTGAGTGCCAGCTTGCAATTAAGGAAACTGAGGCTCAGTGTGGTGCTGTGACTTTTTCAAAGTAACAGAGCTGATGGATAGCCAAGTGGGATTGTAAACCAGCAGAACCCAGGCTATCCCCACTGGCCACTGTCTGCATCCCAGGGAGGTGCTTTTGAGCTGACCTGGCCCACTTAGCACCTGCCTGGGGAGTTCTGCAAGCAGTGAGGGCTTTCCAGATGCCACGTAATCCACCTGCTTCCTCTCAAGCAAGTGTGTCCCTAGCCAGCTTTTCCCAAAGCCTGTTCTCTGCCACCCTTGTTCTCGGTGATGTTGTTGGGAGCTGTGAAAATGCAGGCTTCCGTGTTTCAATACATTTGGGGATATTAGTATGAGGCAGTCTTCTGTCCTGCAAGTCTTTAATAAGAAAATATCTCCAAGAGGGCTAGAAAGTAGTACAGAATGTTTCTCAAACTTATTTGACCAGGGAATGGTTTTTCAAGGTCTCAACGTGACCCTCCTCAAAGCACTAGTCAGAGACCCTCTCCGATGAGTGAGTGGCCAGAGTTGAGAGAACAGCGTGGTTGTGCACGTGGGGTCTGCAGCCAGGCTGCCTGAGGTCCCATCCCAGCTGTGCCACATGGTGACTGTGTGACCTTGGGCAAACTACTCCATCTGTCTGTGCCCCAGTCTCCTCACTTGATAATCACGGATAAGGATATGCCTGCAGATTATATAACACACATCAGCTCCTGAGAACAGTGCTTGGCACATGTTCAGAGCTCAGTCAATGTCAGCTGGCATTTTAGCTCCTTCCAGGGCCTTGCTGAGGGGATTTCTCACATCCATCAGAGACAGAGTCTGCACCTGGCACTCCCGCCCCCAGGCCACAGCAGCCACTTGTTCTATGAGACCTGAGAACAATGCAGGAAGACAGAGCGAAGCAGGTTAAAAGACTGCCATTGTTCCCCAGGAGTAACCCTTCCTGCTCCTGATGGCTGGGTAGGACTTCTACTTCCTTTCTTCTTACTCACAGACGGGCACCTGAGAGTCAGAGACTGAGATTCTAAATCCAATTTACTCTGCCCTGGGATCTCGAGTTTCCTTCCCTATACCAGAGAACAGAACAGGCCTTTAATCCAGGGACATGGCCCAGAGAGGGGTGGGGTGAGCTCTATGCAGGCAGAGAAGCTGGATGGCAAAGCTGCAGAGAGGGGATAGCACCGGTGACAGATAGTAAATGTCCTCCCCTTTGTGAGAAGCAAGAGAGGGGGCCCATGGCCAGGGCGCTTGGGTATTAAATTGGGATCATTAACAGTAGTTGCTGCAACAGACCCAACATCTCAGTGGCGTTGAAAGTACATCTTGCTGACTTATGTCTAATGCATATTGGGATGGCCACCTCCACACTATAGTGAGAAGTTCTATAACAGAAAACCCCAAGGGAACATATAGTCAGCATTAAGTGGAATGCCAAGAATTCCTGGATGACCCTGCTTGCCAAAGCCTTTTTCCTCTGTTAGCCAACTGATGCTCCGCTCTGCCTTGTTGCATATAAAAGACCCTGATGGAGGGGGTGCCTTTGCTTCTGAATGAATTCTCCCAGTTTTTCTAGGACTTCCTAATGCCTAGCCCCCAGAAGGCCTCAGGCTCTGCAGAAGCTGGTATTGGCCTTACTAATTCTCTGCCGGTGCCAGAGACGGTTAGTGCTTCCTGAATCTTCCTGTGCTCTCTGCAGTTCCCAGACTCCCTTGCAATTGGCTGGGGGGGCGGGGTTAAGTGCCGTAGAGCAAGAATTGTGACATTTTTGGTGGCCAAGAGACTGTTTGTCACCTCTGGGTTGAGGCCAAGAGCTGTCCACTCCTGCATCCATCTCTTCCTCTGCCAAGATGGCTCAGAAGGCCAAGTGCTCATGGGAAAACTGGAAGAACTAACTCAGAAGCCGATGCAGCCCCCTCCCGGGTCTCATCTCTGGGCTGAGTGGCGGAGAAAGCATTGACTGGGGAAGAGAGGAGAAGGGCTTTGGCAGGCGGGGCCATCCAGGAATTGTTGGCATTTACATAGCCATTTAGTGCCACGTATTTCTTTCCTGTAGGATTTTCTGTTATTAGACTTCTTGCTGTAATTTGGGGTACAGTGTGCCCTGTGATTCAAATATTCCCAGTAGTACCGTATTTGCCGGCGTATAAGACGATTTTTTGGCCCTGAAAAATATGCCTCCAAGTGGGGGGTCGTCTTATACACCAGGTACACTTCAGATAGACTGCCCATAGTGCTTGCCCCGTGCCATAGTGGCCTCCCGATGCCCGCCCACTTCATTCCACAT